TAAAAAGATTACAGCTTACATATTATATATGTGTTTATTATAAGCCATGTAATCTCACTTTTATAGAAATAAATACCTCTTAAAATTCTTAGAAGAACAAAGCAGGATATATATAGAGAGACAGAAATCAGGTAAATTTAAACATAGATCTGCATTTATGCCCTTTTATAGATGACAGATCTATCCAGAGGAGTTTCAGGAAACATAACAGGCAAACACATTCAACAAAGATACTTTGCATTGACCAATGAAATCCAACCACCCTGACACATTCAGGGATAAGAAGACAGCAGAGTCAAAAAGCCCCAGAAAATACATATAAATATAATGTAAATGCATAAATGTATATTTATGTGTACGTATGTGTAATTTACTAAACTTAGGCTGTCAGAGGAAACTGGGAAAAATTAACTATCTCTACTTTCCCTTGTACTGATTCTCAGTCAGAGGGAGTACCAGCCTTGTGTCTTCTGGTAAAGTATAGACCTATAGAACAATCAGAATGTTTTCTCAGACTAGAACAGCCCACTCCCAACAATGAGTGTTTGTGAGTTCTAACTGGTTTCTCTAGGTGGGTGGTGAAATAATCGCTTAACTACAGCGATTTATTCTTCCCCTCAAAAGAACCATGTGTCTTGAGAAGTTGGCCTCAGTCACAGGGCAATATCCCATTTTAAATACAGTTTCCAGTGATGTTTGTCTATGAATAAATGCAACAAAAAGGTTTAAACTGCACTAGGAAAGAAGAGCTTGGTTACATGACTACTGGGAGACAGCCTTGGGGGATCTTTGTGCTCTTGAGCTCAATTAGTGACCGATTATCAACCACAAAGTACTTACACATAATAATAAGATGAGGAAAGAGAGAACAAAGACTGTATTTTTTTAAACATTAATCATATTCAGCCTTAAGTTAGCTTTTTAGGTCCTTTCAAACAGAATTTACAAGCATGCAGATATAGATATCTTAGAATATCAGAGACATTCCCCTCCAGTTTGTAATCACAGAGAATTAGAGGAAACCTACGTGTGTAAATATATAAATCTAGAGGGATTCTTTTCAAACTTCATTTTTTTTAAAATGCAGGAAACACAATTTAGGAATAACTTTTAATTTATCTTCTAGGAAAAACAAAACAAAAGTTTGAGTTCTGACATATATCCTTAGATTGTCTTAATCTCATCCATCTTCCCACCAATGGTAAGATTAAGGACTATGGACTTCCTGCTGAAGGAAGCAATTGCTCAATCACTTTGGAATCCGTTGGAACCTTTTTCAGTATTAGTTGGGACAGGCATATAGAATTGTGAAATATTCCTTTCTTTACTGAAGAAGCAGCACAACAAGTCAGTCCCTGAGACCTTCTGCTTGATATGCTCTTACCTCCAAGCTACATATTCTCCAAACCGGGAACAGATTTTATCTCAGAAAACTAGTGGTTGCTTCTATTGATGGCCTCCTGTTTTTATATTAAACTCACAACATCCTATTTTAGGACTTTACATGGATATTTTCATGACAGGTTTGGCAGAGCTGACAAGCAGTACTTAAAATAATTTAGGTCACAGCTTTTAGGAGTCAAAAAGAAAGGGAACGTGAATCAATTTAGATACGAAAATTTGAGCTCTCAGACTTAAAGCCCCATTCTTTTGACGGAAAGCGAGGAAGCAGGAGAGTTTAAAATGCAGTGTGTAAGCGGCCGCGTCTAGACTGTGCCACGTTCCCCCGGGGGGGAATTTGCTCAGTTGTTTCATAAATGTGTGCTGGGTTCCCACTGTGAGTAGGACCCCAGCTAAGGCTCCTAATGCAGAGGGACCTAAGTTACACTCACAGCCTCTTAATGTTTGCCGTCATTGGAATTCTATCAGTCCTGCAATTGACTAAAACTAGTCTTCAAATTGACATGAACATATTTAAAAACTCAATATACAGAACACAGAAAAAACTCATTTCCTTTTTCTGCCCCAAACAAAAAGTTTGCTTGTAGTATATATTTACTTCCTCCCTGTCGCAAGGCAAAAACTCCTCCTCCTACTCCCAAGAAGCGAGAAAGTATTTTTTAAAAACTGTTAGTAAGAGCATTTAGCACCTTGTGGACAGAAGTCAGGTAGCCTCTAGCAGCAGCCGGGCAGCCTCAGCGCCCGGTGCGGGACCAGAGCTGAGCCCCGCCCCCTTTCCCCCGCCCGGTCCCCGCCCCCGCCCGCCGGAAAGAGCAAGGCCCCGCCCCTATTGGGCTCTGGGCGGGGACCCGAGGCGCCCCGCCAGCCTCTGGCTGGGCGGACAGCCGGTTCCGCGCAGCAGTTGTCTCTGAGCCCAAGTCACACCCGTCTCGGGCCGAGAGCTGAAGTCCCAGCCCACGTGGCGGCGGCTGGTGAACTCCGGCGCATCGAGGTGCGCCCGGCGCTGTTCCTAAGTCCGCGCCCGCTGAGCAAGTGGGGGTCCGCCAGCGGCCCCTGCCGCTCTAAAGGGCTAGTTTCTCCTCCACCCTTCCATCCTGGCATGCCTCTTCAGTCGCGTTTGTTGCCTCTTAGGGGATGTAAAATATATCTTAAGAGGAGACGCGAAATTCAGCCTCAAACCTCGAAACGTACGCTACTGGCCTTGTGCCGGCTGTTTGCATGCATCATCCCCATCTCTGTTCCTTGCTTTCTCCCACTTCTTCCACTGTCCCCTTCTTTACTCTTCCCTTCCCTTCCCTCCTTTTTCCTCCCGGCGCACTCCTTCCTCCAAAATTCCACGTTCGACTGTGTTTTGAAATTGAGCAAGTTTAAACTTTGGATTAGGGGCCTTTCCTTTGCAATATCCTGGGGCAGGGCCCTTGCATTGGGTTCAAATGGTCAAGGGCCTTTGTAAAGTTTCCAAAAGTAAGCATTCTCTACTATATTTCTTACAGTAATGCTTACGATTGAACATCAAGCCCTCCAAAACTTGGATCCGCCCCAGGCCATGTGTTCTCTACCAAGCTGCAGACTTGGCCCAGAGCAGTGCACACATCCCCGCTGACTCAGGAGCAGGCGCGCTTCTGTACTTCGCAAAGACAAGGGGTTAGTTCTGGTCCTTCAAACCCTTAGATTTACGGCGCATATTCTTAAATATAAAACTAACGATTATACGTTCTTCATCCTTGAATGTATGGTTGTAAAAGTGGCTTGCTTGGGTTTTTTGGTGGGGGGCCTCGGTTTCCTCCACCTGTGCTGAACTTCTCCATCAGGGGGCGCCCACATCCGCCACAAAACACCCTATTCCTAGACATCTGGGTTCTGCAAGCCCTTAGCACGCCAACTGGGGGCAGATCCGAGGGAGCTCACTGCCTCTCTCGCTCCTCCTCCTTGCTAGCCTCTGCCGACCGGGGAGGCAGGGATTTCACACTAGCCATTCATTTGTCAGTCGTGGGGGAGGGGACGCAGGAGCGAAAGAGACTGAGCAGAGGCTGGGAGAGGGGAAGGGAGGCAGAGAAGATGGAGACAGAAGAGGAAGAGACAAAGATGAGAAACGGGACACACAGAGAGCAACACTGTCTAAGTCTCTGTGTGCGCGCATGGTGGGACAGCTCTCCAGCCGTTGCGTAGATTTCTCCTCCCTCCCACTGCATCTCCCGGGGACAAGCAGGACTTGCTGGGGCACAGCTGGATCGGAGAGCAAATAGTTTCAGCTATGACACTATTTTTCTACCTCGCTCTCCGCTGCCTCACACAGTGGTCGCTCCACGCCCAATGACACAGACTGCGAGCCGGGACAACCCAGATGCCCCCATATCCGCGCGCACTAGGGATGCCGTCAGGAGGCGCCCACACCTCTGCAGGGTGGTGGGACGCTCCAGCCTAGGACGTCCCCAGGGGCTCCCGGCACACGCTCTCCCCGGCCGCTGGACTAGCCTATAAAGTTGCTCAACTAGGGCCAAGAGCTGGGAGGGGGTGAGGAGACGGTAGGAAAAGGAGAACTGCTGTACTAGGGGCGAGAGGGCTGGTCCTAGAGGCCCCGGATTCGGGTCCCTGCGCCACCTTTGTCTGGAGAGAGCTCTGAGCACTGGGTTTGTTCGTTGAGACCAGAGTGGAAGCCTCCACTTCGCTCTTCTGGGTGAGATAAAATTCTTGCACATCCCTGATGATTCAAGGCAAGCTTTTCCCGCCCAGGCGCTTCCCAGACCTCCGCGGCACTCCAACAACCCCACCCCCATCCCCTGCTCCCTCCCGGCCGTCCTCGGCGCTCCGCGCGCAGGACAAAAGAACCCTGAGGCACCGAGGAGGGCCTTGACAGCCCCCAAGTCGCCAAAGAGACGCGGCCCCGGGACCCTGCCCATCTCCCGGCCGGACCTCTTCCCAGACTGCTTGCTAGCAGAAGGGGTCACGTCCGCCCAGGTCCCGGGCTGCTGGGGCGCAGGACCTTCCTGTCAGGAGCTGCCCTGGAGCAGCATTCCAGGAACGCCGCGCAATGACCACACACTAGGGTCCCGGGAGCCAGGTGGCCCGCACCAAGGCGGCTTTGGGGACTTGCATGTGGACAAGTCTCGAGAGTCCCCATTCAAACTTTTGCCTCGTACAGGTTACCAAAAGAAAAAAAAAAAAAAGGAAAGAGAAGAAGAAAGAAAAAAAGGGGGGAAAAGAAAAAGAAAGAAAGAAAAAAGAAGGGGAAAAAAAAGCTCAAGGTGCCATCGGTCCCTCCTGCTCCCCACGACTTTTCTAAAGGTTCGCTACAATTCTCTTCCCTCCCTTCCCCCAATTCCGTTAGTCCTTCGACCCCCACCCGATTCCGGACTTCTTTTGTCTGCATCTTTTTCAGCACCAAGGTCCCTTCGGTATTGCTCTCTCCAAAACGTCCTTCTGAAAGTTACCTGACATTTTTAAAGTGCATATATTTTCTTAACTTCGCCTTACAGCTAGTTCTCTTTGCTTTAATTAAAGCCTTCTACCAATTACAATGTACTTCGTTTATCTAAGCTCGCTCGTCCCCCCCCCCCCCTTTTCTTTCCTTCTAAGGGGAACAAAAGAAACGTGATTACCTTGAAAGGCGGCTTATTGCAGTTTGGGGGGAAAAATCACCGCAGCGCTGCGCGAGTGGACTCGGTGTAGCCGGGGCGGGTCACATAGGAAGCGCGTTGGCCTGGGGAAGGGTGCGGAGGGTGCGGGACGGTGCTCAAGGATGCAGGAGGATGCGGGGCTGGCCGCAGATCCCGGTCCCAGCGCCTGTCCACAGCACCTAATGTTCGCGGCTGTTGCTCCCGCCCGCCTGGAGATCTTCCCCAGAAAGGCTTGGGGCAGCTCGCCTGCAAGTTCAAATGCGGGTTGTGACACCCATCATCATTATATCACTGTACCGTCAGCACCGAGGAGGAGACTCAGCGAGGAGGAGGAGGAGGAAGAGGAGGAGGGTTCATTCACAGGCTCCTGAAGCGCTCCAGAGCTTCAGCCACTCCTAAGAGCCCAGGCTTGGAAAGCAGGCAGAGGGGCGGAAAGGCAGCTCCCCGCGCCTGCGGTAGGGACCGCCTGCCTCCCTCCCCAGGCACTCCCACCTCTCGGCGTTTCTTCCTGACAAGAAGTACCAATCGGCTTGGGGACAGCAGCGCTCCCCATTCAGCGACTCACTAAGTAACATCGCGCTGTGCGCACAGAAACCACTGCCCTCCCACCCCTCCCCACCCCCCACTTCTCCGCCCCCTGCGCTGCCAGTTCTGGGTTAGGGGAGAGGAGCCCTCAGGCTCTTGCGGGGCAGGCCAGCACTAGACAATTGAGCACCCTCAGTTCTTCTTGGGAAACTCTGTAAAATCAGCAAGGAACTTGGTTACAGCGGCCACAAAGCCTGCCCATCCCATCTGAGGGAAGTGTCAGGCTTGCGCCTTCTGCCAAACCTGAACGAGACGGAGAGAAAAAGAGATCCTTCTAAGACCTTGAGGGAAAGTGTAAGCACTGCCTTTCCCGGGAACTGCCCAAAGAGGAGTCTTTGCCCAATTTACAAAAATCCTGGTAATAATAAAGGGCTGGACAGGAAATTCCCCGAAGCAAATCCCTTGTTGGATTGAAAGAGAGTCTCTTACTCTGCCACAAATGTACATAAGTCTTGATTTTGCTTTCTTCCTTCTTCCTTTCTCTCAATTTTACCAAGTGCCCCTCCTGGTAGAATATTTAATAATTTTTCTGAGTAATAGACTGCTTGGATGTCCCAATCCCCTTCCTTGTGGTCAGGAAATGGGACCCTAATCTTTCATGAGTTTGATTCTTGTTTTCAGCCAGGCCCACCAACTATGTAAACAACATCAACACAAGGAAGAGTACTCTGCATTGTGTTACAAAAGATTTCCTATAGGACCTTAGAGAGCAAAGGGTCAACCAGTTGACACAAAGGATTTCTGCCCCTTAGAAAAGAGGGACTTTGTATTTTCCCTTGCTTTGAAGTCAAGTATGAGTTTATACAATAGGAACAAAATAAGTCCAAGGTGCACATCAGTTTAATACTGGGGATGCTGGGATGGATAGCAAACTTTTCTTTCTACACAAACATGGAAGCATCCTCATCATTCTTCTCACTGACATCTCAACTTACAAAATTATATCAAACACAATAGTGAGGATTAAAGCAAAAAAGTCCAGTTTCCCTCTGAGTTTCTTTGAGTAGGTGGGCCTTACACTCACACTTTAAAACATGGAGAAGCCTAGACTTCTGTACATGCACATCTACCAGGTTTCTTTTCTAAGTTTCTTTTGCAGGCTGTATGCATTCTGCATGATGCTAGATTTTAAGTGATAAACAAGTGCATGTTTTGTTGGAATTTCAGTTCTCAAAATGTGAGTTATCCATTTCTTTTTATTTATTTCTTCATCAGCTCACTACCGTAAATGATGTAACTATTAATTATAGGATTTAGGAATAATTTTTGTTTGTTTGACAATGATCTATTTGTTCTTAGTATAGTTATCATACTACTATTCTTAACATTGAAATTCTATTTCATTAAATATTTAGAATAACAGAGTGACAGAACAGAATCAGATTTCAACCTTTAGATTTAACAGATAACCAAACTAAAAAGCTCAGAAAGTGACATTTCCTAAAGTCACCCAATTGAAAGCAGAGCTGTTACCAGAACATAATTCTTGACACTGGGTACGGTGGTCTTTTTCAGAGCTTTATACAGCAACTTTATAATCAAGATCACTTCATTCAAAAAGGGAGAAAAATGAAATAAAAGAATCTTTATTGGAATTTATATTTCAGAGAATCTATTTATCTTTAGAGAAAGACAGACCTTTCTCTAAAACATTTTGAAGTATGTACTATTGTTCTCATTCTTAAATTTGAGTAAGCCTAGTTGAGTTTCAAAGAGTTTAAATATCTTGCCCAAGGGTACTTCTAAGTGGAAGATCTGCCCATCTGAAAAGCTTATTATCTCTCTATTACCCTGCTCTCCCTTCATCAGTTAAGTAAAACACTTCTACAAAGGAAACCTAAAGCAGAAGAGAGCAACCAATTGCAGATTAATATCGATTTTCAAGGAAATGTTAATACTCAATAGTCACTAAAAGTAATGCCATCTTTACATGATGAAACATGATGAAAAATTAAGGGTCAGAAACTACTTACATCCTGAAGTATTTTCCTTTATCTTGCCAAATGTATTTCTCTAGCCCTCTAACATTTATAGTTCCGTATAATGTCCATGGACATTACAACTCTTGGCTGAGCAGTTCTACTGGGCAAAGGCACTTTCTCAAGAAGACTTCACCCATCAGAAGATGGACAATGTTGAAAAGCTTTATACCACATGCCTTTTCTTTACTCTGGCTTGAAACTTTATTTAGAAAATTAAATACTTCTTCAGGCTGTCAAATAACTGAAATGAAATGACACCCTTGAATATCAGCTTGATTTCTCCAAAGCAGATTTTCCCCTTTAGCTACCTATAATGGAGAGAGAATAAAAAGGAGAACATACAAGTTACATTCAGAATAGAGTCTACACCTGTATTATTTCTATTTACCTGTCCCTGAGGACTTCTCTCTCTCTCCCCCCTCTCCCTGCCTCTTTCCCTCTTTCTCCCTGTCTCTCTCTTTCTTCAGGAAGACAAAGAGAATGACAGAGCAGTTATTTCTGATTCTCCCAGGTCTGAAAAATTATCACAAGTTTTTGAATAGGAAAGTATATTTTTGTAACTTTTATTTGTCCACTACACTAATTTGTAATGTAAAACTAATCTGTCCATTATACTTAAGTCTGAATCAAACAGTAATTAAAATCTCATTCTGTGTATCCCCCTTTAAATCATGTTCTTGTACTGGGGATGCTCAGTATGTAAATTCCATGGTGTCAGGGATAGATAAAGCAAGATCTTCATTGCTAGCATTGATGTCTACAAGAAACCAGAAGCCAGAGGCTACATGCCTTGCTTCGTTGCCTTGATCTTGTCTTCAGGAACTTGGCAGAGGTCAGGGGCATCCAGCCAATGACTTGGGCAAGAAAGGTACAGCTGGCAGGTAGGTCTCCAGGGAATTTCATTATCTTCATCTAAACCTCCTCGTGAGCTTTAGGATCACATTTCAGTCTTCTCCTTTTTTATTGATCAGGTGAAGTGTTCTTAGACATGGTATCATCTTTTGCTTCATTGGGAATGACAAGGTTCCAGTCCCACTTACATTCAGAAAACGGCTCACATTTCAAGTCCCTGATCTGGCTGATCCTAGGCACAATGGAGCAAATATCCTCTCTGGATGGTGAAAAAATGTGACATTAAAAAACGCACCTTTAATGAATTCCACAGTGCCTGGAAAAAGGAAACCAACCTCTAAAATTACTTCATTATTTTTTAATTTTTTTATAATTTAGGGACAGATATTTTATTCAACACTTTAAATGCTTTTTGGTTTTCTAGGAAATGCAGAAGTAATATGAGGTCTTTGCTGCCTTTTAAAAAATAAAAGAAACTCTACAAAATGCTAAGCGATGGGGACATTCTTATTACTCTTTAGCCTGAAGTATATAAATTACATAGAGAAAGTAAACACAGACAAATATCTTTAGAAAGCCATGAAAAATTTGATTTTTCCCAGAGTGAGACTTTGCTCCCCAACCCCCAAATCAAAATGTTACAGTAAAGTGTTGTTTTCAATAAAAGTTTTTTTTTTTTCTTTGCTGTAAATGTCCTGTTCATGGTTGGGCAGATTATTCCAGAAGTTAACTGGAAGACCATCTACATCACGACGGAAGTATGCAAGCCAAAGCCAAGTCCCAACATGGAGTGATGGGAAAGGCTGGGCTTTCCAGAGGAGATGACTTCATTAGGGAGAAGAGAGGCTCTCTGAGTCGGTCCACAAGGCGGCCAAATGGCTCAGCACATGTGCACTCATCCCTGGGAGGCTCTAGAGCTGAGTATCAAACATGTCATCGTTTTTATAAAGAAAAGATTAAGGCATAAATAAAGCAGTCCAACTAAACTGAATCAAAGATAGTATCACCCTTACTCCCCTCCGTAGTCACTTTCTCAAACTCTTTTCTTTCCTTTCCACAGCCTGAGAAATATAGGTCATTTTTTTACTAAGCGTTTTGTCTCACTGAACAGAGATGAACTGAAGAATTAGGTTTCTGAACACAAGGAAGCGGTAGAGATCTTACAAACTATGTGGCAGGGCAGAGAACAACGCGGAGGTTTCCTGAAGAGGCAAAACTTTAGTAGTTGCTATTGATTTTCAGTGAATACCAGATTCCATTTATTTAATTAGAGTACAATGGGACCCAGAGACAAGAAGTTTAATGAAAGTACGATGGATGGAGCCAAAAGCCACCATGGCAGCCTTACTGTCTCTGATGAGCAAAGGTGGAAAGCGTGACAGGAAACAAAAGGAGTTCTAAGTAGTGAGAAGAGTGTTTGGAGAACTCCAGTATAGGTATCAGAACAAGACACAAAAGCAACAAGCAGGCATTCCATTTTAGTTTTTTTCAGTGAAAAGAATTGCAAGACTAGTTGAATTCCAGAGGCTTTAGGCTTTTGTCAAAAAATATGAATGATCCCATTTAACCTTGCAATTCAAAGGACATCAAATATTTGCTATAATGCATCAAGAAAAAATTAGAAAAGAATATCTATAAGAGTCAGCAAATACTTATCACAAACAGACTGCTCTCAATTTAGTTTCTATTTTCTTTGTTCAATGCGACAAGCATTTACCAAGCGTGTTAATGTGTACTGTTTTAGACCTTAGGCATTCAGGCATTACTCAAAAGGTAAGAATTGCTTCTCAGCCTAAAAAAGTTTGTAACCTCTATAGAAAAAATGAAT